GAATCGATGCGTTTTTGTAAGAAAAATATCCATATTCAAAACGTAATAATCACTTTAATGTAGCTTGCGCCAACAGTTGTACACGGAACTGTTTACATCAGTGAGCGCAAGCTAGATTCAAGTGATTATTACGTTTTGAATATAGATATTTTTCTTACAAAAACGCATTGATTCGCTACAGGAGACCTTTGTTCTCCCCCCCGGAGCCGTGTGAGACATTTTTTTTTATGGATGGGCGCTTTTTATTTAAGTTCTTTTGGACTGATGCATGCAACACCTGCTGAGTGGCATTAAACAGCTTGAAAGATCAAAGACAATTTTTAATATAACTCCGACTGGATTCGTCTGAAAGAAGAAAGTCATATACACCTAGGATGCATCGGGGGTGAGTAAAATACAGCCCAATTTTCATTTTTGGGTGAACTAACCCTTTAATGTACAACTGCAATCTCACAGACGAATCAAAAAGGTAAAACACGTATTTACATGCGATATGAATTATCACAAAGACTTGAATTGATCCCATTAAATATTTGGTTATGTCTCAAACGCGTGAGCAGGGTCTGGATGGCACATATATATCGCTATCGTCTTCAGCCCGGCTTCTTTCTGTGCTCGCTGATAGCCTTCCAGAGTTTACATAGGACTCCACCTCTGGAAACACAAGACAGGAAAAAAACAAACACAATCACACACTACTCGTGACTGTGCATAGCAGAGAAATGTAATAATCCTAGAGCTAATGTAAACAATGCCAGTATACAAAACCACAGCATCACTACAACATTGAATATTTCCTTTAAAATGTCCATTTAATTATAAAAATGTTTATTAAGAGTGTGCCACTGAGAATATTTACCAAGAACTTTATCATCATGAAACAATTTATGTGTGGAGAAGGGCCACATTTACATCTAAACTAAATTTATTTACAAAGAAATGGTATCCATACACAAATGACAGAATATAACACTCATTTCATTTAGATTTATTCAATAGAAAGTGTTTGTGTGTCTGTCCCACACACACAACGTCTTTTTTTCTTCTTCTTCTTCTAAACAACGAACAAGCAGTTTATGCCACAATTCAATGCTTCGTTATACAAGCTTACATTGCAAAAGACTGTTAATAAATTGCATTGAGGCTTTTTTTGATATTGTTTCAGCAGACGCCACACTGCAAAAAATAATGCAGAAACTACACACCACAGCAACTGTTTCAAATAAATGCTGTTTTAATGTGACACTGATGACTGGATTAATGGCAAATGTATTAAACATGTATTAAAACAGAAAACAGTTAAATTGTTGTATTTCACAATATTAGTTTTTTTTAAATAAATTAGTGCTGTCAAACATCCAAAATAAAGGTTTTTGTTTACATAATATATGTTTGTGTACTGTGTATATTTATTATGTATATATAAATACATACACATTAAGTATATAAAGTATAAATATTTACATGTGTGTGTGTGTGTATATATATATATATATATATAAATTATATAAAAACAACATTTTTCTTAAATATATACATGCATGTGTATTTATATTCACATAATAAATATACACAATACACACACATATATTATGTAAACAATGGATGCAATTTAATAATTTCACAGAACTAAAATAAATGCATCCTAGTTAAATCTTATTTTAAAAACATAAAAACAATTTACTGATCCTAACTTTCTGAACAGTAGTGTACTGAATATTAGAAATAAAACCTATAAATGTCCTTGGCAGTTTTTGAGAAGTTGTAGTAAACATAAGCTTAAAAAAAGAGACAAATATCAGAATATCAGAAATGTTCACGCACCGTAATCTCAAAGTCTTCAAGTCGTCTCTTGTGACATAATGAAGGATGTCATCAAGACTGTAATCTTCAGCTATAATCTGTGATATGGACAGAAAATATGCCATTATCTGTTTATACATACAGCACAGCTTTTATGTTCAGTGTTTGGTGACCAAATTGAGTTATTTTCTGTATATTACCCTCTCTATGGAATCTGCATCGGCCCCGTGGTGTTTAAGCCATTCCAGAAGTCCCTGGTCTCCCTCTCGCTCCAATGAACTACTTGTGCTCATGAAGTGTGCAGGAACATCTGCCATAAACAGAGTTAGACTGTAGTGTTCATCAGGTTAAATATATTCTAGCGTAATGATTTAATACATAGCAAGAGGTGAAATACAAAATACAGAAATGAAAAACAACCATCTGATTAAAGCAATTTTCTCTGCAAATGCAAAGTCACATCACAAAGACGATTGTTATCTATGATGATGTTTTTTCTAATTAACTTATGAAATGAGTTAAGACAGTGGAGGCAGGCAGTCTGTGTTTGTCGAACACTTTCTCACGAAAGCTGCTCATGTATATATAATTTCTACAGCAAAGTACCACAGAGCAGTATCACATTTTAAAATGTCTTAAGTCGCTGGGGTATATTTGTAGCATTCTTTTATGCCAAAAATCATTAGGATATTAAGTAAAGATCATGTTCCATGAAGATGTTTTGTACATTTCCTACTGTAAATATATCAAAACTTAATTTTTGATTAGTAATATGCATTGCTAAGAACTTCATTTGGACAACTTTAAAGATGATTTTCTCAATATTTAGATTTTTTTGCACCCTCAGATTCCAGATTTTCAAATAGTTGTATCTCAGCCAAATATTGTCCTATCCTAACAAACCACACATCAATGGAAAGCTTATTTATTCAACTTTCAGATGATGTATACATCTCAATTTCGAAAAATTGACCCTTATGACTGGTTTTGTGCTCCAGGATCACAAATGTGATTTGTGAGCACAAACTACCAGCTTTAAACAGTTTTTCTGCGATCGATGTTGACACTCGCAGGTCATTTATATTCAAGACTGTTTTGGCTTTTCTCTCTTCGATCTTTTTAGTTGCAGTCTGGAGCTTGAATAGCATGTGTGTGTGAGTGTGTGTGTATTAGATTCACCAGCAGGCCCGGATCGACTCTTCAATAGTTTGATCTCTTGTTCTCTCTCCTCCAGCACTTGCTGTAAGATGGCCTGATACTCTCTCTCCTTCTCTATTAATTCCTCCAGCAGCCTACAGCACACAAACCAACACAGTCATATGCAAGTCCATAACTTTAGATCATGACGGAATTCGTCTGGAGTGGTTAAACATATGACTTAATGCAAATAAACGCACAAGTGTCCTGAGAGCACCGCTCTGTGCATACTAATCTATATGTCGACATAAATGGCTTATATTTGTTTGTATGTTTATATAGCACTCGTCGAGCAATTTCTGCAAATAGTAGTTGTTTTGTCAGTTTTTTAACCCACGGCTGTTGTAACCGACTGCAAACTCAGAATAGCGTTTTGTGTGAATGCCGGAAAATTCGCTCCCAGGCTCAGGACATTCCCAGGATTAAAACTTGAACGTGATTGAACGCGAGCCAGATTCTGTAGGATCTGTCATAGTGATAACATTTATTCTGCCACTATTTGACCGATAACATACACAATGCAGTTGTTTATGTGAGAACAACATAAAAATGAATGAGCAGGGCTACTCAATAAATACATTATATTTCACATAGTCTTTATGGGAAAAATGCCACTTCATCTTTATGGGATCATATGTGACCCTGGAGCACAAAAGCAGTCTTAAGTCGCTGGGGTATATTTGTAGCAATAGCCAACAATACATTGTATGGGTCAAAATTATCGATTTTTCTTTTATGCCAAAAATCATTAGGATATTAAGTAAAGATCATGTTCCATGAAGATATTTTGTAAATTTCCTACCGTAAATATATCAAAACTTAATTTTTGATTAGTAATATGCATTGCTAAGAACTTCATTTGGACAACTTTGAAGATGATTTTCTCAATATTTAGATTTTTTTGCACCCTCAGATTCCAGATTTTCAAATAGTTGTATCTCGGCCAAATATTGTCCTATCCTAACAAACCACACATCAATGGAAAGCTTATTTATTCAGCTTTCAGATGATGTATAAATCTCAATTTCGAAAAATTGACCCTTGTGACTGGTTTTGTGGCCCAGGGTCACATATGGGATCTGTGTGAATGAGCAAAATCCCCGGATTACCAGAACAATTTTCTCAGCACTTTTCCAGAATCTCTATATGAAAGGAGCTCATGTTCAGAGTGAATGTGTGTACTCCAGAAGAACATTTAACTGCTCTACCATTGTTTGGGGGCCAAAACTAAACAGAATATATTTTTTAATGAAATACAGAAAATGTAGAAAAAAAAAATTGTAGGTTTTTGGTTCGATTCATAAGAAATAATCAACAGATTAATTGATTATCAGAGAATTATTGTTAACAGTCCTATCTCAATGTGTTTAAAATCGTGGAAGCGAGAGCAAGATTTGAGAGCTACAGTGGAATAATGACTTGGGTCTGGGTTTGTTCTTCACAAATAGCTATCGAATTACTTCAGAATGCCTGGAATAAAGCAGGAGTCATATGGACAATCTATGTGATACTTCATGGTGTTTTAATGACATTCTTGGGGTGTGAGAGACCCATTAACCATTCACTTTAATTATATACAAAAAGTAAAACTAACCCCTACACCACACCGCAGTCAGAGGAGTCTCATTTGCTGACTGGCATTATTTGTTACAGACCATCAGAGTCTGTCATTATCATTCGCATGTGTACAAATTCACCCAATGCTGTATATTAGAGCTGCAAATAAAACAAAACACCAGCACTTACCTCTTGGTTTCTAGCTTCATGCGACCCAGCTCCATGCTAATCGATCGCTGAGCGCTCTGAGACTCATGGGAAACTGATGAACTGAGCGTGCTCACTCCAGATGTGGCCACAGTGTCGTCATGATGAGCGATAGGTGGCGCTATATCCTTAAGGGGAACTGTGTCGTCATCAATGTCCTCTTGCTCAGCGGGGTCGCTCTCAGACGCCAGCGTGAAGTGTGGCCGCAATTCTGAGAGCGAACAAACACACACATCAAATCAACGGTTCCTGGAGCCTCCCCAGGGCTGCACATCTTGGATGTCATTTACTGGACACAACCAGGTCAGATCTCAGTAAGCTGAAGAGTCAATTCAGTTCAGGACATCCAAAATGCGCAGCACTGGGGGCCTTCAAATTCCCTGCCATAAATGAACAGCAGCCAAGAAAATGGATTGTTTTAAATAGAAACCATTGCTGTTTACCAGGTACTAATATGATGATGGCAGTCTGTACAGCCTTTCGAATGATGTTATCCAGAGCAAACATCCAGTGCGGCTTTATGTTGTGGTTATGCAGGACTTTATTTACCTGGAGAAACACAAAATGCTATTCCCGTTTACTATAATGAACTTTAAGAGTTTTATTGAAAAATCACACTTAAATTCAAACTTCAGGGAAAAAGTCATTATTGAGTTTTTCAAGACTACATAAAATGGCATTCGCAACACATTTTAATACCATAATGTGATCACTTCAGGTGAAGCATGAAGTAACAAAATAGGGCAGGATTTTGATCAATTGACGCTTCGCAGGGAGCTTGACTGACAGGTGATCTGACCAATCATAATGCTGAATCCGCCATTTCTGTCCGACAAACAAACCAGACAGGAGAGTAGATTAATGTGGGTGGACTTAAACTTGAAAAACGGTGTGTACTGATGTCTTTCCACCATTTTTTCCACCAATACCTTCTGATGTTCATTCATGTTTATTTCATGCTTTAAACCACTTGAACTGAGCCGCTGAGTCGCTACAAGGTTCTGTCGCAACACATTAAAGAGCCACAGAGCGGTATTTATCATTTAAATTTCTTTAAAAATGATCAAATTTGAAAGCTAACACTTTGTTTCGTACCAGAAGGAACCTGCTCTGTTTTGTCTGTCGGAGCGTTGTCAGTGTCCTCCTTGCACCACGACGTATTTTTCACTGTGTGGCGTGGGACTGAAAAACTAAATTAGAATTTTCTACTTAAATATTATCAAAATTCAAATTATATTCGAATCCATAAAATGCGCTGCACACATCTGGGGCTGTCAAAATGACTGAAAAACTAAATTCGAATTTTCTACTTAAATATTATATTCGAATTCTATTCGAATTTAAAAGGCATAATTTCAGTCAGGGGGGAAGCTTTTGGCTTCTCTCCTGAGGCCACAAGAGGGCGCATCGAGCAAAATATTATGCACGTTTCTTCAAAGCGTAATAAAATAACACTACTATCTTTGGAGAAAAAAAAAGTGCATAATGTTTAAAATAATGAATGCACTGATGCTCTCGTTTTCCGCAATATATGAATGAACAACGTAGCGGCGCAGCATCTAGTGGGTTCAACTGGACAGGCTAACAAAAGCATTCAAATGCAATGACACTTACATCATCATCGCATCTCGTGCACCACTGATAGGCTGCCTGACGGCTGACGCAGACCTAAAATTCGAATACAACGTTTTTGCATTCGAATGTGGATTATTTTTTTTTTAATTCGACGAATATTCGAAATTCGATTTTTTTTTTTACAGCCCTAGAGGACAATGGAAGCAATCAAAATCAACAAAAGAGCAATGATATGCAAGTGCTATGACAAGTGACTGTTAGCTTAATGCAGTACACATAGCAAGGTTTTTTTTAATTATATAATAAATAAAAAGGAAACAGATAGAATAGAAAAAGAACAGAGCAAGCTAGTGTTAGAGGCCTTTTTTGCTTTTGTTAATTGTATAATAAATAAAAAGAAAACACATATATAGAATACAAAAAGATTAGAGATTAAGAGATTAATTAAGGTGCGTTCACATTTACCATTGCTCTGTGAAATGTCACCTGCAAATTCCATTCATTTCAATAGGAGTCTGTGCGATTGGGAGTTTCGCACAAGGGCAAAAAAAGTTCCCCATGCAGATTTCATTCAGATTTTGTGAATTTGCTGCATTGACCGACAGAAAGCTGCTTGGTTTGAAAGTGACGTCTGCGTGAACAGTGCTTTATACATCGCTACACTACTGACGTTTTTTTTGACTATGAAATTTGTGCAATATTTGTGAGCGCAGTTCATCAGATGGCTTTGGCTAGACACTCACTGCATCCTGGAAGCTGAAGAGCGCCACCTGGAGTTGGCTGATGGCTGTGCTGTCAAAGTCAAGCTCTAGTTTGAGCTGAGAGAGGGTGCTGGCAATTATTTTTCTGTCCGCCATCCTCACAAAATCTCCCAGACTTGTAACCAGTGTGGAGACATGCTGATGCTTCAGTTTGGTCTCCTCAGACCCCTGTATTGAGACAGAAAAGGGACACAAAGCACGTAAAGATTTCGTAGGACTGCATGAACACAATCTTATTAAAAATAATTATTTCTCTGATGTTGTACTTGCACTAATTCCAGGTAAAAGAATCATTATGTGCAGCAGAGTGACAACATTTACAAAGCATCTCATTGCTTTTATAAAAAAGGTTACCATATAATGAAAATGTTAAAGAAATTTTCAGCAAAACGTTTTTACAAATTTATTATGACATTTAAACGTATAAGGTGTCAAACTTCTTTTAGAAGATCCCTGGCATGCAAAATAAAGTGACTAGAGCTGTTCAGTGATTTGGTTTAGAATCATCTTTACTGACTTTATTGAACTGTCGCTTGTGTTAAAATAAAGCAATAAGCCCCAAGAAGCCGTGGGTTACAGTGAATTTATAACAGCTAAGGGGCATTGTCGCGTCGTGCCTAAAACCCCCTTAGCTGTTATAAATTCACTGTAAACCACAGCTTCACAGGGATTATTGATTTTATAAAACGGTTATTCCATATGCGTAGTAATGTTTCACAAAATAAAACAGAGCAAATAAAGTGTAATGATAATAAAAACAGTATTCTTCCACCAAACAATGTAGTTCCTCAGAAACAGTTGTGGTTCCAACAAAGTGGTTGCCGAGCAACACACAGAAGTAAACAAAGGTGTGTGTTTGTAGAGTAATTTACAACAGCTTCGAACGCGGCTCAGCCAATCAGAATCAAGCACCGGAACTCTCCGTTCTGTAAGAATACTTATGGCTCGTTTTGCTGTCAATCACACAAGATGTTGTTTTCGGGTTCACCTGTGTGAGCGCTTCTAGCAGGTGAAGCACTATTTTCTCTCGGTCCTCAGTCAGGATTCGGTGTAAAGTCGCTCTCCTTTCACTGTCTTTCCTCAGCATGAAGAAACCAGAGTCCTTCTCTTCTGGGGAAGGTGGTGCGCTGTGGTCTTCAAAGTTCTCCACAGGAATACTGCAACAATGTGTGGAGGAGTATACTTTTACTACTAGATTTACTACAAGTAGATGCACTCAATGCAAAAATGCAAACAAAAGCACGCACATCAATCTCAAATGGGTGCGCGACTAAAAAACAAGTAGAAAAATTAAATGTAAAGTCGGCAACACCAAAGAATGTTCGACGTTTCGAGCATGCAGGCTCTTCATCAGCCGACTTCACATTTAAGTTTTCTACTCAATGCAAAACAAATGGTACACTGCAACATAATAGGGCATTATCTACGCTGGAATGAATCTTCATACTCTCTGCTGACCTCAGGAAGAGGGAGCGGTGGCCTTTGACCTCTCTCTCGCTGTAGCACTTGGTGCTAGGCTTGAAGCTGAAGGGGTTTGTGCAGAGCTCATTGTCAGGTGAGACAGATCCATATTCGCTGCTGCTGCTGGTGTCCTCGACCACAACGGGAACGGGAAGAGATATGCTACGCAGATACTCTACAAGACATGACCAGCATAATGTCCCTTCATACATCGCACACTCTCCTGAAGCATAGTTCTGAGCATAGAAAAGCTAAACTAAAACGACCAATGATCATTTTCAGTTGACCTTGCATCTTTTGCACATTGACTGAACTTAAATATTAAAAAAATAATATTAATGCTGTTTATATGCAAAACAGACAAGACTCACCAGGACCTGGTGTAAGAGCTGCAAAAAAGATGAGAAGACATAATTCACAAAATAATCAGCAGAGAGGGGGAAAAAATTCCATCATAAAACAAGGGAGGCAACACAGCGATGTGATGGAAACTATATTTTTCTTTCTTTTTCAGCAAAGAGCAGCTCTTAATTTGCTTTGAATCTGAACACAGTTCAAAACTCTGCTGTGTGTTTTCAGTTCAACAATAAACATTAAATAGGCATTACAAAACTAAAATATAAAATCGATCAAATTAAATAAATACAATAAAAATACACCAAAATTGGTAACAGATTTGAAAGTAACAAAACTAAAATTCATTTAGTAGCCTAAATTATCCAGCCACTCATTCTGGCCTATTTAGTTGGGACCAGATATTAATGTATTTACCATAAATTAAAGATAAATTGATCTCAATAATTTTTTTCATAAATTCTGTAATTAAATACTAAATTCTGAAATTACTTGTTCCCCCATCATGTTGTCTAAATGATTTTGGGTGTCACTTTTTGTATGTAACAATTTTAAGTAGTGCAACATTTTCTAATGGGAGAAAATTAAGCAGGTGAAATCTCTGACATATGTAAATATGTTTTGCAATTGTTTATTAAATGATCTGAAAATTCAACAGTTTATGTGAAAATCTGTATTAATTTAGTCATTGGAAACAGCCAAGAGAGTTATGTCCAAAATAAAAACTAAAAGCAGATTTAATAAGAAATAAAAGCAGTTGAAAGCGAGAGGGCATTTCTTTTTGCTGAGTTTAATCTAACATATAATAGAGTCCTTTTATTTGTTCCCTATTCATGGAATGTACCAACTGAAATCATTGCTTGGTATAAGGGCTAATATAAGTAGTAATATATAAGGCCTATATAACACACACACTAGGGCTGTCAAATTTTTTTTTGAATTTCGAATATTCGTCGAATTTAAAGTAAAAATCCACATTCGAATGCAAAAACGTTGCATTCGAATTTTAGGTGTGCGTCAGGCAGCCTTATCAGCGGCGCACGAGATGCGATGACGATGTAAGTGTCGTTGCATTTTAATGTTTTTGTTAGCCTATCCAGTTGAAGCCACTAGATGCGGCACTGCTGCGTTGTTCATTCAAAATATAGCGGGAAAAAAGAGAACATCAATGCGGAGAAGATCTTGTTTACATTAAAACCGAAACCAAGCCGTTCATACAGAACGCATATTTCACACATTTTCTAGAGGGACATCTATCACCATGATGCTGTTTTGTTTATAGTTGTTTAAGCAACTTAATTATAATTGGTTTATAAACATTATTTTAAACATTATGCACTTTTTGCATTATCCCCACAGATGGTCATGTTCTTATGCTTTGAATAAACGTGCATTAGTAATATTTTGCGCGATGCGCCCTCTTGTGGCCTCAGGAGAGAAGTCAAAAGCTTTTCTTCACCCTAACTGAAATTATGCATTTTAAATTCGAATATAATTCGAATTTTGATAATATTTATGTACAAAATTCGAATTTAGTTTTTCAGCCATTCTGACAGCCCTAACGTGAAGATCACTCACCCCGTTCAGGCAGACCTGCGTGTCCCCGTGGCAGGCGGTGAAGTTGGCTTTGGGCTCTGAGGTGGGGCACTGGGCCGAGGCGCCGTTACACATGCCCTGATGAGCGCACTCAGACTCCTCGCGACACTTCTCGTTCCGGCCCTTGTAGGAGCACTCGGCCGTGCAGCAGGGGCCCTGACTCGGACTGCACACACACAGCAAATCAACACATCCAGGCGTCATACACATGCTTACAGTGAACTTCCACGACTTCTCACACAATCTTCATGACCTAATGTTCTGCTACTTTACAATAAAAAATTAAAATCTGCTCAAATTTATCATAGCATGTTTACTAAAATGAATGACTATTAATGCTACTTCTTTGTTTTCTAGTTGTTTTAATAAGTGCAAGCTGCGATTGCGCCAGACGTTACTCCATGCAGAGAACATTTCATCCATTCTGAACATAAAGGATTACTTCAGGACACTTTCCAAAGTAATCACGCCTGACCTTGAACATTGCTGCCTGCGGTTCCCCCAGCTCATAGAAGGGCGGTTTCCCAGTAGCCATTTCTATAATGGTGCAGCCCAGAGACCAGATGTCCGCTGGCTTGCCGTAGCCACGCGGCCCTTTATCTATGATTTCAGGGGCCATGTACTGTAACGTACCTGACATACACAAACAGCATGGAAGAAATAAATAACTGCTAATAATAGTAATTACTGAACATTTTGAAGATTCTAAAGATATTAATCAATGTCAACAGACCAAATCTGCAGCACATATAATAGCTGTGTCCTTCGGTGTTATAGAAGCAACATCAACTTGTTACTGACAAAAGGATAAGCAAAAATGCATGGCAAAACAAATAATACACTCAGTACCAGTAAAGGTTTCGGTGCAGGGGTTTATTCCAGCAAGACGTTTGGATGTTCCAAAATCAGAGATTTTCAAAACTCCACTGTAGGTGTTTATCAAGACATTATCCCCCTGTAGGTCATGAAAGTTAGTAATTGCATCAATCACTCCTCTGTGCAATTTCAGAATCTCAAAGAAATCCGAATGAGATCCAAATAATGCAGTAATATAAAGGCCTAATAATGCATATGGCATGTGTACAGCTGAGGCTCTCGAAACATTTACGTGTACGCCTCATTTTATAATGAAAGTGTTATTACCTTTATGTCTCTGTGAACTATCTGGTTGTCATGCAGGTATTTGAGACCCTCCAGTATCTGTTTGGTGTAGAAACCTATAGTTGGCTCATTGTTTTTTAGAGGACCCCACTTCGACCTGAGCAATGCTGACAGACTGCCTGTGATTCACAGAAAAATACAAATATATTTTACATTTTGAATAAAACAGATGAATTCTGGCCTAAAGATGTGTACCTGTAAGTACACTATAAAGGTCTAACGAGTCTGTCTCACCTCCAGGCACCTGCTCCATGAAGATCTTGATGAAGCCGTTCTCGCTGATGGAGCCTAGGTACTGCACGATGTTCTTGTGCTTGAGGTGTTTATGCAGGGCGATTTCTTCATGCAGAGGCTGTGAATATCTATCAACACAGAGCCGTTACGTGTGCTGTTAGATAAACTATTGCTGTGTGATTGCATGCATTTCTCTTGTTTCTATTTTCATCTGCTTAATCGTATCGTAAGGACACATGAATATTGTACATTCATGTATATTATTTATAAACCCTCAGATGAAAAGTCTGATGCTTTACGGATAGCAGCATAATGGCAAAACTAATTTGGCCGACTAGACACGCACGCGCACGCACGCACGCACACGCACGCATGAAGATCTTGATGAAGCCGTTCTCGCTGATGGAGCCTAGGTACTGCACGATGTTCTTGTGCTTGAGGTGTTTATGCAGGGCGATTTCTTCATGCAGAGGCTGTGAATATCTATCAACACAGAGCCATTATGTGTGCTGTTAGATAAACTATTGCTGTGTGATTGCATGCATTTCTCTTGTTTCTATTTTCATCTGCTTAATCGTATCGTAAGGACACATGAATATTGTACATTCATGTATATTATTTATAAACCCTCAGATGAAAAGTCTGATGCTTTACGGATAGCAGCATAATGGCAAAACTAATTTGGCCGACTAGACACGCACGCGCACGCACGCACGCACACGCACGCGCACGCACACGCACACGCACACACACACACAACTCAAGACTTCTCTCTCTCGCTCGCGCGCGCGCACACACACACACGATGCGCAAAACTGGAGGCGTATGCGTGTATCTTTACAGAAGCAGCACAGGGAGCCGCTTCAGAAACGTGCGTGGAGAGGCTGGATTCTGGAATAAACACAAGTATTGTGGCCGCAATCAGCTTCAGTGGCAGACGTGTGCAGTGTAAATTGTCTAAGCATTAACGGTAGGGAAAGCCCCTTATACTGGAGAGCGGCCATGTATGAAGTGTTTCTTGGAGGTTACGTTGAAGAATGATCATATGACTTTTTACATACGCCATGTGACCTGTAAATGCGAAAAAGCCATTTCCATTGCAGTTTTGCGAATTATTCCTTTTTCGCATTGCCTGAAAAACCAGCTCATGCGGGCGTAAAAACTTTTTTGCGATATATGGGCGTTTTTGCGAAATTGACGCGTTTCCATTAGGCGTATTTTCAATTCGCAATTTCAATTTGAAGGATAATGGAAATGCGCCTATTCTCTGCCCAGTGATTTTGTGCTTCTCTGCCATTTCTTGTGAAATTGACTTTCATTCACTATTATGACATTCTCATTGTAACACTGTACATTTATAGATCAAATCGCATACTGTATTGATTTGATATGGGATACTTACTTTATTTTTTTTTTGGAATATAGGACAATGCTGAATTTGATGCAACGAGTGGCATCCCTGAATGCTTAAAATATTAAGGTTTGGTAAATACAATTTAATATTTAACTTTTTTTAATGTCTGAAATCAACCTAGCGTCCAACCGCACAACACTGGTATGAAAATTATGACACTGTGGCCAGTCTTCATGAAAGTTTTCCAGGCTATGCAATGAGAAAAGTACCTTTTGTTATAGTATTCAATAAAGGGCAAAATTGTCAACCTTGTCAAAATGTTGTAAAAAATAAATAAATAAATAAATAAATAAGTCACTGCAAAGAAAGACATTCCTATCCGAAAGAATTTGATTTCAAAGTGAAATAAAATTTCCTTCCAGAATAATGGGAAAAAGGAAACTGTGGCTCACCTACTGTCCCGTTCAGGAATCTCTTTGATGGCTATAAGTCACTGCAAAGAAAGACATTCCTATCCGAAAGAATTTGATTTCAAAGTGAAATAAAATTTCCTTCCAGAATAATGGGAAAAGGAAACTGTGGCTCACCTACTGTCCCGTTCAGGAATCTCTTTGATGGCTAAGCGCACCTGGTTACTGAGGTCACGACCGGCATAGACTACCCCAAATGTGCCCTTACCCAGAACCACCCTCTCTCCATGCTCATCGTATTCATAATCATACTGCAGGCACACAAGAACACACAAATCACTCACGGTCTTACCTCCCTGTTGTTCAGTACTATATATATAACAAATGTATGCAACAATCATTATTTACCTCTAAAGCCTCTGATTCACACTCAGTCTCGTCTGAGCCTTTCCAGGCCTCCTCAGTGAGCGTGTTTACCAGATCACAGAACCTACGCAACACAGAGCATCATCAAAACACATACACTGACATGATCACAATTTACAACAAATAAAGTCTAATTAATTAAAGGACGGTGCTCATGCTTTAAATACACAAAGATGCACACTGTGATTACTTTCAGACCTCATTATTGTATGCCCTACACATAGTATACATTTTCTCATTGCATGAGTTTGTAACGTTTGTCTCGTTCTCTTGCCCACTCATGACTGCAAGGAAATAATTAACTAATAATTCGCTAATGTCTAATGCTTTTAGAATTATTGGCCGATGCATTTTGCATTGCTAGTTTCTAGAATAAGTCTAGTAGACAATCAAACCTGCGATTTCTGTCCTTAAGAGAGTCTATGGCACTGTAAGGAAGAATAAATGAAATGTGGGGGAAAATAAGGCATTTGCAAAAACACACACACGACATACCGTTTGCAGTGCATCTCTGTGCAGAAATAGATTTGGAAGTCTTCTGAGTTGTTCACCACATACAGAAAACAGCTGCGCTCATTAAATTTGGAGATGCTGAATGCCAAAAAAAGACAGTTAAAAAATGCTTTATCCTAAGTGAAATTTTTTATTATATATTTACATACTATACATATAAATATGATCTTTTGCTTCATCTTCTAGTAGAGGGAAGTCAGTTCATGAATTTTCTTAAAAAATAAAGCGTATTAGGGAAGACAGCATTTACCTCACACCTCGCACTGACGCTGCACTGAAATTCCACTCGTGGATCCCTTTACTCTAAAACAGAGAGAGAGAAACTGTATTCATCCAGATATGCTAATGACATAAATTAGCAAAGTTCAGCAGGACTGATAAGCATTGAAAACATCATAACATTTGCAGTCTGCAAGATACAGTGAATGATGTTCACCATAAACTGACTACGATGTTTTCTACATTACATCTCATTGTTGGATGTGCATGATATTCAGGCTGGCTTGTTTCCTCACTGCCCTGTCAGACAATGACTTCGCAAGCAACGTTTGCGCAAGAAGTTACCTCTCAAAACTTATTTCAGACAGGCTTCTGAGGCAGCACAACTAATATATACACAGCTGGTGAAATAAAGCAGCAATACTAATTTCGCACTAGAAATGTAATTAAAAGTTAAAAAGTTGTTTAAAACATATTTAAATGAATAACAATCACTGGATTCAGACAAATCTTGTTGCCTTCCTACCTCTTCAGCTTTTTCAATTTTCAACAATTTTCCAACTTTCAGACCCAGCCTTAGTATAACTTTACAAATGTAATAGTAACATTTCGGGATTGTGTTAAATGTACAAAGTAAGTTTGAAATGTTACATTTATAGTTAACTTTGCAAAGTAACTTTGGGGCAATGGGTTAAGTTTACAGCTATAACTATAACACAAGTTTTGGACTATGTTTGAAGTTTATTGTTCAATTTGAAATGATACTAAAAAGTCTAAAACTATGTTTTAGGTTTATTAAAGCAATAAGCCCCAAGAAGCCGTGGTTTACAGTGAATTTATAACAGCTAAGGGACGTTGTTAAGCACTACACGAAGCGGGGCTTATTGCTTTTTATAAAACGGTTATTCCATATGCGTAGTAATGTTTCACAAAATAAAACAGAGCAAATAAAGTGTAATGATATTAATAAAAACAGTATTCTTCCACCAAACAATGTAGCTCCTCAGAAACAGTTGTGGTTGCTACAAAGTGGTTGCCGAGCAACAAACAGAAGTAAACAAAGGTGTATGTTTGTAAAGTAATTTACAACAGCTTCGAACGCAGCTCAGCCAATCAGAATCAAGCACCGGAACTCTCCGTTTTATAAGGTTACATTTCAAACGTAAACCTGGGACCTAAACGTTTTAGGTTTACAGCTAGATTTGGGGGAACGGTGGATAAACTTAGAAAAATCAGCCAAAACTTCACTGTTGCTGAGTGCTAATTCTGTACCGGCCCATAATTTAGTAGCCCCAGTTGAGCATATTTTTTGTTGATGTTTTTAAAAACATTATATATTAATAATTAATACATTTAAAAAGCAAAAAATACATTTTAAAATACACTAGCTTGCTCTATTCTTTTTCTATTCTATCTCTTTTCTTTTTATTTATTATATTATTTGGTTACACTTTATTTCGATAGTCCACTTTAGACATTCTACTAACTATAAGTAACTTTGTAACTACATGTCAACTACATGTCAACTAATTCTCATTAATTTGCAACTACATGTCTACTAACTCTCAGAGTAGACGGTAGGTTTAGGGTTAGTAGAATAAGTTGACAAAGAAAGTGTTAGAAGATAGTCTTAAGTGTTAAGCAGACAGTCTACTAATACTCTACTAACTGCTAGTTGACATGTAGTTGCAAAGTTACTTACTGTTAATAGAATGTCTAAAGTGGACTATCGAAATAAAGTGTTACCTATTATTTTAAAAAAACCTTGCGATGTGTGCTGCGTTAAGCTAACTGAGACTTGTTATAGCACTTGTATATCATTGCTCTTTTGTTGATTTAGATTGCTTCCATTGTCCTCATTTGTAAGTCGCTTTGGATAAAAGCATCTGCTAAATGACTGGATGTAATGTAAATGTAAAAAGGCTAGATACAGAGTATCTGCCAAGTTAAGAACATTTTAAGAGCTTTTTTAAGACCAGCTCAAATAAAATGAATATACAGTAGTCAACTAAGACAAGAACACATTTTGGTTTTAGGTTTTAGGACACCTTTGAAGAAAGGTTTTGATCCACTTCAAATGTTGACTACTGTAGTATGCCCATACTGAAGAAACTTATACAAGCTCAAAATAAATAAAACCTGTAGAACATGGAACAGTGTCATGTTTTTAAACATGCAGCACTCAATACTGTAATGTTCGGATTTGTAAGGATCTAGTGGTTTAATAAGTCCACAAATCCAAAAAAGAACATCTGAATTTAAGAACGAATGGATAAATAGTAAGTTCTTTATTACTTTGTCATCAGGGGTCACGTGCCAGATGGATAGTGTGTTCTCTTCCACATCGTTGTTGATTGAGAGGTAAGATGGCTGGTACATTTTAGTGGGCTCCAGTATCAATACCTGCACACATCAAAAACAAGCAATATTAATTCTGACGATAGTCAATGCTTTACATGCCATTAATGCTCAATAGCATTAGGCAGTGTCTCAAGTCAATACTCTTACTAAACTGTCAGAGTTTAAGTGACTATGTTTACATGCACACCAGAAAAGGGTTTATTCCAGGTTTTTTTGTGCATGTAAACAACACAGTGCATGTAAACGTGAACATCTTAAATGGCTTTCTAACAGTAAGAGTTGTGATGTGGCAATGTAATGTGGCAACTTAGCCGAAGAGTCATTGTGTGAGGAGGGCTCATACAGGAAAACGGACAGATGTCACATCCTTTTTGGTGGCTTCCACCATGAAGTCCATCCAGAAGTCCACAAGCTCTTGTTTAGGGGCCTGTGGATCAGTGGTTGGTTTTGTAAAGTGCTTATAGATGAGAATGGTCTCAACCAGTGAGCCTAGATACCTGAAATACAACATAAAACACAAACACCTGAATGAATGAACAATAGCCTACTCTAAAAGACTACAAGTATGACTCACTTTTAACAGACAGAAGCGCTTGCCTCTTCAAAATTCATTACTATAATGCCAGCCCAAGCCAAAGTTTGTATACTGTCTCTAGATATGGCTTAGAATTTATAATAGGACTAAGAGGTGCAAAAGGCACATTTGATTCTATTCTCCTCTTAACCGCTAGATGGCACACAAAAATTACAGCAGAACTTTTCTAAACATTCATGCTTCACTATGCACATGGAAATTTGGCTGCTCCTTGATGCCATTGTGAACAGCAATGCACGTGATTCTGTGCTAATTTGATCTAATATTTAAATGTTTGTTTTAAATGTAGCGAATGAGAATCAATAAAATGACCAAATAAATTTTGAGAGATTTTCTTAATGATTTTCTTAACTGTTTTCAATAACTAAAGAATATGTAAAAGGATGGTATAAAATGCACCCCTGCTGGTATGGATAAAGGCATAATAATTGTTGGCAGATTTTTCCATTTGTTGACGTGACATGGTTAAATTTAGTTGGTTAATATCATTTATTAAGATGGGTGTGCACATTAAAGATAATATTTAACCATATTTAAAAATAAGAAATTAATCATATAACTGAAAAAAATATATACATTTATTTTTTTCAACTGTAAAACCATATTAAATTATAATGGGATTATATATATATATACAGTGGGTACGGAAAGTATTCAGACCCCCTTAAATTTTTCACTCTTTGTTATATTGCAGCCATTTGCTAAAATCATTTAAGTTAATTTTTTTTCCTCATTAAGATACTGTATAAGAGCGTTATACAAAACAAAACACTTCTATGTTTGATTTTCTCACAAAATGCTGCTCCATCAATGTTTAATAAAAACATAATTTTTTTTTCATACACTGTGGGAGTAGTGAAAAGCACATTTTCCTTGCGGTGTGTGACTTTAGCCCCACTGTACCCTAGTGTAGGTAATTACAGGTAATATTAGAATATTTACTACTGATCATTTATTTCATTACTTACTTAAAAAAAAAACTTAAATACTTCAATAAAAGGTTTCAGTATTATCTATGACTTTCCCAGGCCTGGAAATCAGTTTTAAAATTTCCTAAACCGTTTTTGTTCAAAATCAGTATGAACAATAGTAATAGCAATAGTAATGTCTTAGCAAACACTAATAATTAATTTTTAATTATTTTTTCCAACTATAAATAATACATAACACATTTGTAGCGTCTGGACCACTCAAACACACAATATATATTTTGAAATGCGAATGTGTGCACATACCAGATGGGAGCTTTAAGTTTGAAGAGTTTCTCAGAGGCCTGGATGACTCGTGTGTTGTCACAGGCGAGAATACTAGCCCCGAGAAAGAAACCCACATCCCAGTAACTCTGTAATCTATCCAAACTGCCCTTCTTCCCCAGGAGACTGCTCAACTTCACACCTACAAGACACAGATTAAGTGCATATGTTATATTAAGAGGCATATTAATATATGGGAGACTTATTCATATTGATATATATATGATATGTTGGTTACTCTCACTAATATATGTGACCCTGGAGCACAAAAGCAGTCTTAAGTCGCTGTGAAAATTGACCCCTATGACTGGTTTTGTGGCCCAGGGTCACATATGAGACAGACAAGAGCATGCTCTCTATTTGAGAAAGGAGGATACTCTTTATTATCAAGTATCAAAAGTAGTATTTTGGAAAATGACAACATTAATATGCAATTTAATATTTTTATATTGTGACATTGTGTGTGCACAATTAAGAAAACCAATGCAGACAGATTTTTTAATTACAATAAGCAATACATTAAAGTTTTAAACAAAGACTAAAACATCTCTCGGATGTAATGCACAGCTCAACTGATTTAATATATATATTAATGACAGAAGTCTTTTTCATATGTGTGTGGGTAACAAAATTATCAAGACCTGTGTCAACCACACTGAATCATTGAGTTGTTTATTTGAGAACCACTACAAATTGATAAGTCAGATTCTGCAAACATTCTAGGTAGGGATGCACGATATTGGATTTTTGCCGATATCCGATATGCAGATAAATATCAACTCATTTTGGCCGATAGCCGATATGCCGATAAATATCAACTCATTTTGGCTGATAGCCGATAATTATCAACTCATTTTGGCCAATAGCCGATATGCCGATAAATATAAACTCATTTTGGCCGATAGCCGATATGCCGATAAATATCAACTCATTTTGGCCAATAGCCGATATGCCGATAAATATAAACTCATTTTGGCCGATAGCCGATATGCCGATAAATATCAACTCATTTTGGCCAATAGCCGATATGCCGATAAATATAAACTCATTTTGGCCGATAGCCGATATGCCGATAAATATCAACTCATTTTGGCCAATAGCCGATGCCAATAAATATCAACTAATTTTTGCCGATAGCCGATGCCGATATATAATTATTTTTAATTTTGGTTAGTTTTTAACAAGAACTTATTTGTTAGAATTAAATAAACAATAATAAAAGTTATTTTATAATTACAGTACATTGAAGATTTGAAAATAACTATAAATAAACTATATATTAATCAGTGCATTTTTATTTCAGAAAGACGCAGTGGTAACCCATTATTTAATTTAAGTGTCATGTTTGTGATTTTTTTGTTCATGTAAGCTATAGCTTGCTGACCTTTAATTCAAAACATACTCATGTTTTTATGGCATCAATTACCACTTTATTTAATCAGAAACACAGTCTAAATATTATTTGTGTATTTTGCTTTCATTTTATTAGAAGTAGGCCAGCAGCACCCCCTACAGATTAAAACTCCTTACTGAGCGGCCATTAGGACCCGGGGGAGGCTGTCACTGCTGCCCCTGCAGGTGATATTACTGTTTACTCTATCACACACCGAACGCGTCATTCTGTACGTGCTTTCTCAGTTTAAATGCAGCGATCCAAAACAGTGAATCTAATCATCATTCAGGCAAAACTTTGCTTCAAGAATGAGCCACACTGCTGACGTGATCTAATCGCTAGCACACCCTGAGCACATGTAAGTTAATGTATTCCTCTTATTGGCAAGACATATCTGCATAATTTTTAATATCATTAAATTAATTACATTTAAAGCCATTATCGGCCGATTCCGATATTGGTCCGATAAGGCAAGGCAAGTTTATTTATATAGCACATTTCATACACAATGGTAATTCAAAGTGCTTTACATAAAATGATGACTCGGAAGCTGATATGAAGTCCTGTGGTCACTCATACTCTGTCCAGGTGTGTGTGTGCCATTCAGGTTGAGTAGTTTGGCACACACTACTGAAGGATGACGGATGGAGAAGTAGATGTTGTCCTTTAGCACTCTTGCACCAAGTTTGTTTAGGTGGAGGCCATCCAGTTTAAACAGTTGTCTATGGCCCCAGAAAAGATTGAAGTTGTCGATGAAATTGACTCCTTTTAAGCTGCAGATTCTTTGTAGCCATGTGTTCAGCCCAAGCAACCGTGAAAACATATTAGTTCCCCTTGCTGGGAGTGTTCCACTGATGAACGACTGAACTTCAAGTCTTCGAAGTGTATCAAAGAGTTCACTGAAGTCCTTCTTAAGGAGTTCTGACTGCTCTTTCCGAATATCATTCTTCCCCACATGGATGATGATTCGATTCGCAGTCTTGTGCTTCATTAGAATTTTCTGAAGTTCCTTGTTCACATCAGAAACGGTTGCTTGGGGAAGGCAATATGTTGTTGTATTTCTGCTACTGATGTTTCTGATAATAGAGTCACCCACTATCAGAATCCTGGACTCGGCTGCGCTCTGAGCTGAATGCCGCTGTCTGCTCGACCTTGAGCACCTGTTAGTAGCGATGTTAGCTGCTGGCTAATCCGATCCATGTTTAATCACATTTGGGGATTCCTCACCCGCATTCATTAATGCTTAAAATCTGTTCTCAAGATGTATAGGGGGTGGTAGAATACCAGTATTCACAAGCCTTGTTGTGAATAATGTTGTGCATCCCTAATTCTAGGATTGATTGGAAATAACTGAATTGAACTAAGTACACTGTTCATGTCTGACTATCGACAAACAACATTTTCATCCTCTCTATATTCAAATGCAAGTTTGGCACCATTCCGGAATGGAATGCCCACTTTTCACCTTCCAAACAATGAATAATCCTAAAATAATGCTGTGTTGCTGAATAATTCGCTTAAATACATCACATTACTGATGTAAAGCATGTTGTGAAAGTCTTTCATGTTAAGGAAAGTGCTTTCTGACACCAGAAAATAAATGTTGATTTTTGCCACATTTCAATTTAAAAACAATCAGGCCAATATTTCTTATGACACCAGACCAAAAAAGTGCTTTAAATAAATGAATAAATAAATACATAAAGTTTGCCCCACCACTTTTATAGGAGTGGTTGAATAGATGAGTGCAACCCAGTATTATACAAACTGTCAATCAAACGCACCTACTTTACGCAGTTCAAAGGAGGAGTCAAACTGATGTCCTGCAGCCAGTAGCAGCACTGCATAGTTTATACCAGAGTGTAGCGTGGGCTCCGATTCAAAACCTTTTCTAAACCTGTACATGGGAAAGAAAAAGAGAGTACAGTACAGTACAATGCCACTGCTCCTGTTACTATGGCCACTTTATTGGTGAATCTCACAAAAGCTGTCAAAAACTGTAATGGTCCTACAAATAGATCTCATTTTGTTTGCCCAACATCATTTTGATTTTTGTGTGAAATGCAACCTGAATTTTTTCGTTAGATTCCCCCTCAAGTCCTCACCAGTGCATGCCTTGATCTCTGCTATCCGTGTCGGTGAAATGAGACTCCAGGAACATATCCTTATAGATCCGGCCTACCAAACAATAAATATCAGATGCCACCTGCTCATCTGAGTTCACCAATGGCAACATAATGTCCAGAGCCTTCTGTCGGTCTCCTGGTAGGTTTCTCCTGCAGAGACAGACCAAAGAGAGACTGTGAAATTCAGAAATTAACCAACAAAATAGTCTGGAATTAAATGTTAGACACGGTCAACTATATGTAACTATACTTTCATTAAAATGTGTAAACACCGTGACCCTGTGCTGCTTTCAGAACACTGCACTGTTTGTTGGATAAGCCCAATAAAGCAACACTGACTCAACCAATGGTGTGAGTCTGGAACAAGGCCATGTTTTCATAAGATCTCTCATCAATGGTCTTTAGGATTTAAATCATATCAATTGTTATTCATATACTACTCCATGTCCTAGCCAGGTGCTGGATGTTATTTCTATTTCACTCAGTTTGTAGTAAAATCTCATTGTGCCACTTCACATTACTGTATACACTGCGTTCAAAAATTTGGAGATGTTTAAGGATGCACATTCAATTGATCAAAAGTGACAGAAAATACTTTTGCAACAAACGTATTCAATTTCAAATAATTGTTGTTCCTTTTTGAACAATCAGGAAAAATTCTGAAAAACAAAAACAAATTATTAAACAGCACAACTCTTTTCAACATAAGAAACATTGTTTCTTGAGGACCAAATCAGCATATGTGACCCTAGACCACAATACATTGTATGGGTCAAAATTATAGATTTTTCTTTTATGCCAAAAATCATTAGGATACTAAGTAAAGATCATGTTCCATGAAGATATTTTGTAAATTTCCTACCGTAAATATATTCAAACTTATGTTATGTAATATGCATTGCTAAGAACTTCTCAATATTTAGATTTTTTTGCACCCTCAGATTCCAGATTTTCAAATAGTTGTATCTCGACCAAATATTGTCTTCTCCTAACAAACCATACATCAATGGAAAGCTTATCTATTCAGCTTTCAGATGATGTATAAATCTCAATTTCAAAAAATTGACCTTTAAATCTGGTTTTGTGGTCCAGGGTCACATATTAGAATGATTTCTCAAGGATCATGTGACACTGAAGACTGGGGTACATTTAGCTATTTCACAATATTTCTGGTCTTACTGTATTTTTAATCAAATAACTGCAGCCTTGGTGAGCTTAGTGAGGCCTAATTCAAATTTTTTTTTAAAAATCTTAACTTTTGATCGTGGTATATTAAACATTCTGATTAAGTGTGATTATGATTATGTGGTGTCACACAGCATTTTAACATTCAGTGTAAAGAGACAAATTACTTGATGTTGTAAACCTAGGACAACTGTGCTTAGTTAAGACACAGTAAGATGTTCAGTGTCACCTGTTGAGGGCAAAGGCGTAGTGGAAGTTTATGTGAGGATGAGCCACTGGGTCAAAGGTCGGCAGATTTTCCAGTGTTTCAACTAACTTCACAATGGATTCATAATCCTACAAACAGATAACCACAAAACAAAAAAGAAAGCGTTCACAAAAAATCAATATTTATTATACAATATTATAAAATTACGCTCATTTGCAACACATGAAAAAATGATACGAAGAAAAACCGTAAAGACTAATTCTGTCGTAAAAGTACATTCAGTTCCCTCGTATACTGTATTTCTTAAACCTTTAGTAAATAATAAAAAAACCACAATGTTCAGACACAATGATTCTAAAATGTATTTGCTTCCTACTTCATTCAAACAAAAGCACTAAAATATTAATGACACCCTCTTAAATAAGAGTTATAGTTTGAACTGACTGCACATTATCAGTAACCACAAAAACATAATTAATTAAACCTTTGACACATTTTCTTTCACTTTGAAGCTTTAAAAAAAAAAAAGTTCAATGTATTATGTACTGCACTACACTTTAATTTTCAAAAGTAATTGAAAGTAATAATGTCTGATTCATGAACAAACATTTCTTTTGCGTCCGTTTATCCGTTTATGTTAGCAAATTAGACTGAACAATTCATGAATCAGTCTTTCATTCATGTCCAATTATTAAAACCTGTGTCAAGTATGTGATGCCTGGTGATAATGTAATGATGTACAAGAACCAATGAATCAAGTTGAAACAAGAATGATTCATTTAAACAAACCCAAAAGAGTCAAACCTCTAAATACTAAAACAGATCTGCAAAAATGAGCCAAAAATCTTAATGATTATGACATTACAGTTATTAACATATGACCAGCCACATTTTTACATTAAAGGGTTAGTTCACCCAAAAATGAAAATGAAAATTAGCTTGTGTTTTACTTACCCTCGAAGCATCCTAGGTGTATTTGACTTTCTTCTTTCAGACGAATCCAGTTGGAGTTATATTAAAAATGGTCCTGGCTATTCCAAGCTCTATCATTGCAGTCAGCGGGTGTTGCAGTTGAACAGTCCACAAGAGAACAAAACAAAACAACGGTCACTAATTAGAAGTACAATCCGAGGATTTACAAAGAAAAATGTTAGAGGATTTCGATATAAGCCAAGAGGAGACTGGTTTTCCTTTGCTAAAGTAAGAAAACTTTGCTTCCTATGCTCCTGTTAACAAACTCGCGAGACTAGCATACCTCAGAGGCGCGCGTGCTGCACATACGTGCTGCGTCATCCGCTGGAACTGCTTCAGTGTATGACAGTAAGCTAATTTTCATTTTTGGGTGAACTAACCCTTTAACACCCACTAAATTCTGTAACATGGCCCACCCATGTTGAACAATGCTGGTATGCAGAGGTTAGCAAACATAAAGAGGTAATTAACATACACAAACTTAAAAGTCCAGTAACAAAAACCACCCATTTAATTTTGAGGCTTTAAGAAAGAAAATGGTGATGAAATTAAATTATGAGTGTTTTTAGTGCATTGAAGAAACATTGACTACAAGTGGGCATCAGGAATAAATACTATGAAAGAATTTGGTTTAATAGGAGAGAAATTAATGTAACAGAAGGTAAGGAAACTACGTAACTGTAGTTAACAGTCATTTATCATACTTTTTACTTCTAAAGTAACTTACTGCCAAGGTGTGTCTGAGTTATAGCAGAGCATTTATGACTTCCTGTTCTCCTCTTATTAATTTTTAACAGGAAAGGCACTAACAGTCCAAACAATTTATTTGAGCACATCTGTACTGAAATGATCGGTACACAACTTCAACATACAAAACCAATAGTCCTTTTATTGTTCTACATTTTGCTAGGTTAGCTGATTTATACCAATTTTGTCTTTACAAAATTGTCTGCCTCCATTCAGTAGCAGCTCCACCAGACATAAAGAGAAGGCGGCGAGCGTAAAGCAGAGCCAAGCTCTTCAAGCATTTACTGCACAGTCAAACGCGAGCTCTACACCTCACCTTGACATCTTCAGGGGAAATCTATAGGTAGAGGAGCTTATTCTTTCCTTGGGAACTGTGATGGCTAAGGCCACACTTAATAAATAGGCTATTTTATTTCAATTGTTCTAGTTTTCTTTTTTAAATTTATTTCATTTCTTTGTAGGAGAAATTGATTTCGTTTTGTTTGAGAGATTAATTGTTTTGTTTGCTTGTTTATAAATTTCTATGCATTTATTTTTGTTTCTTTAATATTATTTACCCAAAACATTTTGTTAGAGGTGCATGTTGTCTCCTTATGCGTGCATTAAAGATCGAAGAGCAATGCAATTCATTACTAGAGTGCACGCTAGTGATTGAATAAAACCACAACTAGACAAAGATGGGTTTAATTTTTTTTTATTTAATTATTTTGAACTATTGTGTATCTTACCCGTGGTTCCGCCGGGATCCATGACTGCAGCATGGAACAAAGGCCTGTTATTAAAAGAGCGCTACATTTCCTGATGTCCTTTATATCCTTTGCTAGGAATTATGGGAAAAGTAGTTTTGGGGACCATCTGGGTTTGGTTTGTTTGTTCTTTGGATGTGTTATGCATAAAGTCCATTTTTGTGTTTGAGTTTATTTTCATTATTGTTTTATGTTGAATGTAATTTCATGTTTATAAAGTTTATTTGTACATATTATAT